AAAGTTGTTGATTAAAAAAAAAAAAACCCTAAATCTGGGATCCTGGAACAGAAAAAAGATACTAGGTAAAGAATTAGGGAAATTAAGTGTTCCATCTGGTAATGTTGATATCACTTTATTAATTATGCCAAATGTGCCATATTAAGGTATGACACTGTTAATAAGTGGGGCCTACATGTGGGGTTATATGGACACTCTATTATCATTCTCATTCTTTTAAAATACTTAAAACTCTTGCAACACCAAAAACATTAGCCTAAATAATAGATAATTAACAAAATGGACTTTTGCAGAAATAAATGAAATAAAGTGACACTATTCTCCTAGGTCCAAGCCATCACTCATGAAAAACACAAGGGAAAAGCACTGCTCTCTAGAGAACTGAGCACTGACTACAAATCTGGATCCCTGGGTTTGCTTCTCTAAATCTGTGTGACTTCAAGATACTCATTTTCATCTGCCTCCAGCCCTTAAAAAAGGAAGAAAGAAAAAACAGGGTACCAGAACCAGGAGCACTGGGCTAGGAAGTGGGAGACAACACATTTGAGAGGGACAACTTCTGTTTTAAGGGATGTTCCACTCTCTACCATGATGGGGAACAAGGAGATATGTATAATAAATAATTTCCAGAGTACAAAAGTATATAAATCCAAGTCAGTATTTAGTTCAGATTCTGGAAAAAATTAAGGACTTGGGTGAATGTAAGTTTTCAAATCAAAAGTGCTAATATAGATACAGAAGAAATAATCGAAAAAGGCTTTCAACTTGAACTTTAAGCATATGAATAATAAAATATAGGCTATTCAATTTAAGGCTGAAAAGCATCACCAAAATATTAGTTTTTCTAGTCAACTTAAATTTTTACCTAAACCCCAAGAGATGCATAGCTATAAAACATGTTAACCATTAAACTCTTAATAACCACTAATATGTCTTTAATGAGAGCATAGCATAGGATCAAATACTTTCATGCTTAAAATTGACAAAACAGGGCTGAAAGTGATAACTCAGTTAAGAGCACTGACTGCTCTTGCTTAGGACCCAGGTTCAATTTCCAGTACCCACATGGCGATTAATAAGCATTAGTAATTCCAGGGGAATCCAACGCCTTCTTCTGACCTCTATGGACAGTGCATGAGATGTGCACTTAAACACACGCAGGAAATACACTCATAAACATAAAATAAAAATAAAAAGATTTGAAAAATGGCTTGTTTGTCCTGAAGTCAGAAAGGTGCCAATTTTGATAGAAGGAAATAAAACCAGTCTCTTGAAACAGACCACTCCTATTTTCAGGGGGTTGGGGGGAATACAAGATCTTTGTTACCCATGCTGGCCTCAGAACTCAAGATCCTCCCAAGTATCAGGGAAGGCTCAAACACCAGCCTCCCCTCACATGTTTAACTTTCAAACCAACTTGTGAGAAAATGTGTTTGATACCAATGTTTGACAGTTCCTGGAAAATAATAAATCCTTCTTACAATAGGATTAGCTCTCTCTACTCCCAAGTCTTTAATTAAAAATACGGTTGCTTCTACATTAAACTTTAGAAAATATTTTATCTGAACAGACATTATAAAATCTAGGTTGCTCAAAAAATATACCACGGGGAAAATTCACTTGTAGATATAGGTATCAAATGAAAGAGACTATAGAAATCAGGTTTGCCATTCTCATTCCAACACTAAAAGAATTAACAAGGGCCAGTGAAGTGGTAAAGTGTTTGTATGAGGTTCTGGGTTTGAGGCCCCAATGCCTTCATCAAATAAATAAATTAACAAGCAACTAATATGTGCACATGTGTAATATTTACCTAAAGAGTCTAGCACTGGCTTGCCTAGAATCAGGCTGGCTTCAAAATCACAAAGATCTGCCTGCCTCTATCTCACATGTGCTGGGATTAAAGGTGAAAACTATTAGACCTGCCTAATCAATATATACATATGTATTATTATTTTTTTTTTTGGTCTTTTTGAGACAGGGTCTCTCTATAGTCCCAGCTGTCCTGGAACTCACTATGTAGACCAGGCTGGCCTTGAACTCACAGAGATCCGCCTGCCTCTGCCTCCCGAGTGCTGGGATTAAAGGTGTGCACCACCACACCTGGCTAACCAGTATGTTTTTAATCCTACATTAAAAAATCTTGGCTGTTATTATGTTTATAGCAGAGTACATTAACTTGGATGGGGGGCAATAAGGGAAGCTGAGGATAGGGGAGGGGATCTAAATAACATCAAATTATATTGCATGAAAATCACAAAAATTCAATTAAAAATATTTTTTTAAAAAGTCTTGGCTGGGTGTAGTAGTGCATGCCTTTGATCTCAGCACTTCAGAGACAGAGGCAGGTGGCTCTCTGTGAGATGGAGGGCCAGAGTGGTGAACATAGTGGGTTCTGGGGATACAGGGAGACCCTGTCTCCAAAAAAATCCTGGAGTCAGGTATAGTACACATCTGTAGTCCCAGCTAGCTAGAGATTGAGGCAGGAGGTTCACCTGAGTCCAGAAGTTTAAGATTCAAGGCCAACACAGGGAACACAGTGAGACCCTGTCTCAAAAAACAGATCATAATTTTCAAATAAATCTAGAAGAAGCAGCATAAACTTTGGATATTTATATTTATTTTTAAATTGTGGTAGAGTATATATAATACATAATTTTCCATGTTAACCACTTCCAAGCATATACATCAGCAATTGGGTAATGTAACAATATTGGGCAACCAACCTCTAGAACTTAAAGGCTTAACACTAGCATTTACAGGCAGACCTGCAGAGAAGTAAAGATCTTATTAATAGCTTTAAAGAGGTTTAAATCATTTAATTCTTACCCATGGAATCAATTACAAAATGTCAAAGGTAATTTAACTCTTTTAGAGTAAAACCTTTTTTGTTGCGGTGGAATTTTGAAATCCTTTTCCTTTATTGAAGGTTCCATTTGGAAACCAGGATGTGTGTTAATTGCACACTCAGGATTGCTATGAAATCTATCACTAATCAAACTGATATGATGTTCCTTTCAAGTTCACTGTTTCTTCAATCAAGTCCCTCACTGAAGGAATTTCAAATCACACGTATAAATCTCTGCAGTTATCTTTTACAGTGTCATGTTAACTCAATCTCTTTAGAAAAAGATACCCTTTTATTCATAGACTTCTACTTCAAGTGAAAATTAAACAATTCAATTCATTAGGTTGCATTTTGGCAGTCTAGGCACAGGTTTCACAGACAACTTTTCAGAGGCGTATCTCAGGAGTTCAACTGGCAGGTCTAGTTAACAGGCCAACTGAACACAGCACTCATGGGTTTCCTTTTTTCTTCAGACTTAACCTTTGATAGGTTGTTGAACTACAGACACACATCAATCTTATTACAGAAATGTGTGTCAATTCACATTCTGATTGTTCCAATAGTAGTAGTGAAATGGAACCAGACTAGGGTCGATTTCAGGCTGATTTACTTCTGTACTATTTTGTTGTAACTAAGAATGAAAAGAACTGGTGGAAGCCAAAATGGGTTAACAACTATGAATGGGGGGGGGATAAGTTTGTTGCCACTGTCATATATGACTCCCTCCTTTTTATTTTGCAAATCTAGTATTTTAGAAATGCTACCACCTTGTACTGCATTCAAGGCCCTTTTCTACTTATGAGTAACACCAAAACAGGCAAAACTCTAGAAGACTTTAGTCCAGGAAATTGGCAGAAACATTACTGATACTTTTTAAAAGTGTATTTAAAATTTTACTTTGGGGAGACATGCATGTGTGTGTGTGAGAACAAGTATCACAAGTCAGTTCTCTCCTTCCACCAAGTGGATTCATAGGATCCAACTCAGGCAAGTACCCTTGCCCACTGAGCCATCTCACACTCCCCTCCCCCCTCAAAAAAGGTATTTTTAATAGTGGTTAAAAGACGCATGGCTCTCACAGGTTCTATTTGACATGTAACTGCAATGCAAACCTGAGACCTGAGACACAGAGGAGTACTACTTAAATGCATATTAACTACTGAGGCCCAAATTAAACTCACTATCAGAGATCACATGTGGAGCCCGGACTTCCCTGATTTCTACAATGGAACATTTCCTAATCCCTAAGTATTTGAAAGCTATATAAAGCTCCTTTAGGGACACTTGTTTCCCACAACCCTCTGGCAGGGTGTTAAGACAAGGGCATCTAGAAGCCTTAATGCCACAACTGGAAAGCTTGAGGCTAACACCCAGATTAGAGATTAACTACTTCCCTGAAAACCTGAAGCGTGTTTGAAACGCTTCTCGGTGCTCTCATTTCTGTGTGTGCAGACATCGCCTAAGTTCTGGATAAATTAGTCATACTGTAAGCTCTATTTTCGACTCTGTGTACAGTACAGATATAGAACGAACCGCGGTGGAATACGTGCGGGGACCCAAGGCTGGGAAAGTCAGGTGGCTTCAATGACTGCCCTGAGCTGATTCTTAGAAACTCTTCGTCCTTTCTCCCCGCGCCACTGAATTTCTCCCAGGCAGGGGAAGCGTGGACGGCGGGGATGGATGGGGTGTTGCGGCTCCGCGAATTGCCCGGGGCCGGGGCGGCAGCCCACCCCGCCTCCCACCCATCCTGGACAGCGCTCACCTCCAGCTTGTCGGTCAGCTCCTTGTGCATCTGCTCGTACTGCCGGCTCATGTCCTGGTTCCTCTCGAGCAGCGCCTTGCCCAGGCGGGCCGCCAACACCAGATCCTTCTCCTTCTGACGGATCACCGACAGCAGCTCCGGGTCCTGCGGGGCCGGTGGCTGCGCTCCGTTCTCCTCCGCCGGAGGCCCGGGCTCGGCTTGAGGATGCTCCCCGGGATCGGACGGCCGCTCCCCGGCCGCCAGTAGCGCCAGCTCCTCCTCTAATGCCAGTTCCAGCTCCCCGGGGCCCCCGGGAAAGGAGATCAGGGCGGCGGCGGCAGCGGCGGGACTCCGAACTGTGTCCCCAGCGCCAGCAGGCAGCTCCATGCAGTAGGCGCTGTCCGGCTCGGCGGGTGCTGAAGCGCGGCCGGCAAAGCCCAGGCAGAAGGCGGACATGGCCCGCGCGCGCCGAGCCCGCAGCGG